CAACCTTGCGCGCTCTATACAAACCAAGAAGACGACGAAGATGGCGTGTGACGCAGCCGACACGTGATGTGATGACATCATCGTTTCACAAAAATATACGGATTGGCTGTACACACGAAACTGCAAGGGTGTCATTTTCAGATTTATCCACTTTGGGACCCAGTTTCAAAAAATAACGTTTCACTCTCCAAAACGCCGGATCCGTGTGGACGAAACGCCAATACGATAAAAAATTTATACGTATACAGCGAAACGCGTCTTCGTGTGGACGGCCCTAAGAGTCTTTCCAACGTCCATCACCATGATTTTTGCCATGACCGATCGCGAGAGGAAAATTTGACGTTTAGTTGCGTAACTTCGGTTAATGGAAACGGCGTCATTTCGCAATAGTTTAACGATATTTTAAAAAATTTGCAAAAGTTTAACGCAAATCTGTAATGGAAACACGCTCCGTGAAAAGTTCTTTGTGCAAAATATGGAACCATTAATACCAATAAAGAACCTTTATTTATAAGGGTGTATAATAACTACTTTAAAGATAATGTCATCTAGATCGCTCAGGCTATTGGCTAATAAAACAAATTGAGGAAACACACAGTCAGGTCCTTTTCACAATCCCTAATGGATAAACTCGATCTCTAGACACTGAATGTCTTTTTCACTCTAAAACACGTCACGGTACTCAAGTAAAACGGGTTTCGTGTTGACTTCTCTGCGTTGAATATAGAAAACCAACATAACTCACACACGATTCAAGATGCTAATCTACAAATCCAATCAACTCTTTGTGTAACTAACGACGTTTTGATTTGTCCGCTCTGACCACTTAGGTTTGGCTGGCAACACTTTAACGAAGATGCATTGTTTAGTTCAGCCATATAGACAGAGACGTTAACCACAAGTGGAACGGTCAATAAATTAGGAAATAACTCAACATCACGAAGCCATTAGGGTTGGGTATCGTTCGAATTTGAATGATTCTGATTCCGATTCCTTGTTTCGATTCCGGTTCCTAACGATTCTTGATTCCGATTCTTTTAAGAGGCAGGGTCAAAAAAGTTTAGCTAACCTTGCTAACCAACGGCCTTTCTGAAGGAAATAATCCTTTCTGAAGGAAATACTCCTGTCACAAATACTCCTTTTGTCACAAATTTAGCATTTTGCCGAGATTTCGTTATTTTTAGAAAAGTGAAGCCACACTTTGGACCACCGACGTAAGCTACTCATGTTCGACTCGCGCGGTTATGCTAACACTTCCGGTAGACGCTTCTTCGTTGGTGTTGTTCAGCGGTTTCTTCTTCCGCTCGGCGGACTGTGAATATCGAAACTAGGAATCGAAATTTTAACTTTTGAACGATTCCGGGAAAAATGAAAAGTTAGTCCCGGTTCCAATCGATACTCGATTCTCGATACCCAACCCTAGAAGCCATACACTTTAGTTTGGGTAGAAACCATTTTTAAATGGATGTGAATGTTCATCACAATTCACAAGTTCGCTAAAGTAATTCTGTTAGTTTATCTTAACTTCACATTAACACAAAGCACCTGATGGCCGTTCGAAAACTGAAATTAACTCAACAATCACCAGAAAACGTCAACGAGTAGTTTGACTCGTCCAATACTGGATTGGGTAGTTGGTAAATTCAGATTGTGAACCAACACAATAATGACTTTACAAGACATAGACGAAAAACTCGAAATAAATTAAAAGAGTGACGAAAACCGGCATGTTTTGACTCATCTGTGGACAATTAGATGTTGCAACCATCCCAACAGCTGGAGACAAATACTGAGAGGGAGCGGTGAGAAAACCAAGAGTTGTGGGTACTTTTGGAGGGTGACGGCGGGCAGAGGGGCTTATGGGTAACAACAGTGGGGTAAAATACACAACAGTAGTACAGTAGATGTGATCAATCAATCATGCTACAACATAAAAATCTTCAAAGACACAAAAATAAGAAACCATATCAAGTTGAATTAAAATGGACCTAAACTCAAACACAAAGGGAGAGATTGACTAGTGTACGACTAGTTTACGAAACCAATAATCACTCAAAGCTGACGTCTCCGGGAACACACTCTTCTCTTTTCAATCGGAATTTGTCGGAGTTTCCACAATTATGAGTTACGAGTTTATTTAAAGTTGAAGAATTTTGCAAAGCTCTTAATTCTGAGTTCTATGAAAGTGCAGGTTGACTATATAAATACATGGGTAGATAAAGGGCTAGTTCACCCAATGACTTGAGACTTGTCATTAATTACTCACGCTCAACAAATGATGATCTCGGTTTAGTCCAAAATTTCTGAAGACACGGTTGTGTCAAATTTAGGTATTTATTCACATATAAACTAGCCTGGGTTTGCCCATGCTGCCTTGCGATTTTATTCATGCTGCTAGGCAGCCTGGACACCAAGTTTTCCCCTGAGATAGGGAACCAATCACTGGGAGGGAGCAGCAAGACGATGTCAGCGGCGTATATGCGACAGTTTGTTTATATCTATAGACCCATCATGGCAGCGAACGCGAAGTTACCTTTTCATATGAAAACATGAAACATGTCGGCTCAACTAATTTGCAGAGGGGGATTTAAACAGGTTCCCTGTGACTGGTGATTCACTTTTTAAATTGTTTACTTCATATAACGTTAGGCTTTTTTTATCACATATTTGACCATTTCATGTGTTTAAACAGCTAGATCGTGTCGCTACGGGCGCAGTTGTTCACTCCGGTAATATAATCGTTTTTAAATCAATAAGCTCCTTTTTAAATCAATATTTTGTGTCAAATTATTGATTTATTTGGTAGGTAGCCATGTATAGCGAGGCGGTTGATACAGCGAATACAACTAGAGCCCGACCGATAAAGGATTTTGAAGGCCGATACGAATATTTGTTGGTTTTAAAATCTGATATATCGGCCGATATATTTTTTTAAATTTTATTTCAGAAACGTGCAACAAAATATTAACAGATTTCCCTAACATTAGTTATTTTTAGTTAATTATGAGTTTTAACTAAAATAATATGATAATGCATAACTGGTTCTCTCTGCCCGACTCTGTGTGGCGCATTATACATAGTGTAGAGTGCCCTCACTCATGACATGGTTGAAGCGTGATTCGTCCGTTTTTATTTTATTTTTGAAATATTCATTTATCGGCCATTATAACTGCCGATACCGATATTTTAGAAAATGCCTAATATCGGCCTGCCGATATATCGGTCTGGCTCTAAATACAACCCGTTCAGGCTCAAAACAGCTCTGCTTCGCGTTAGAGTTCGCTGGGTTGTATTCGCTATAACAACCGTCTCGCTATACATTATCCCTTACTTTTATTTATTTATTTCTATGAGGGCTGAAGGGCCTTTCACACAGGACGCGCAATGCGCGGCGCTGGCCGCAACGTGATTTGCTCTGTGCTATGCCAGTATAATAACGTTCTGTATCAGTATAATTACGTTAGTTATTTGTCCCTATACAACCTCAAACATTTTGATTTCCGTGCTTGTTTGGATGATGCCCCGTTTCTATTGGCCGCGCTGGTAATTGCCACATAGCGCAGTGGCAAAAGTTTAACTATTTTGAACTTTGACCGTGGCGTGCGCGCAAGGACGTCAATTGTGCGCACCATTGCGCTTTGATCGGCGCAAGCCATTGAAATAAATGGTTTCATAGCGCAGCGCATTCCGCGTCCTGTGTGAAAGGGCCTTGAAAAGACAAAATTAAATAAGGATTGTCAAGTGTGTTTAAACACTGCGGTACAGCGACCAAACCAGTAGCACTACCATTTTTGCAGCGCCGAAAGCGAACCTTTCACTGATGTAATGACGCGTTGACGTGCGCTTGCTAGCCTGTTGCATTTACGTGTTCTCCGAATGCTAAAGAGGAGCCTCGTCTAGCCTCTGAAGGATATGACTTGGAAGGACCTTGGAAGGATATCTCCTAAATCTCTCTGACCCATCGTCGTCTACACACGTCATCTGGTATCGTTGACCTGATTGCTATGAGCTACGTCCAGGCGCATTTGATAGACATTCGTAGCACACAATAATACAACTCTGGGCATTCGTAAACCACGCCTCAAATACGAGAAAATGAACGTGGTTTCCAAACCACGTCTCAAGGCAAATTTATACTTCTGCTTCGAGGCTACGCACGTTGGCGACGCCGTTGTGAGCATTTATACTTCTGCGTTCAGGTCTTGGTTGCTCTGCTCCGAAACGCTAGTTGGCGGCGGAGGGTTTTAATGTTCCACTGTGTTTAGATTCCTCGCGGCTAGGTTACTACAAGCAATAGCGACTGAAAGAGAGAGCGGATCATGTTGGAGTTGGAGCTTATTGAGGTGGAAAAACAGTTTTAATTTTAGTGAAATTACTAAAACTGAAGGACAGAAATGAGAGAAGATGTTGGAGGAGAAGGTACGTGCGGAAATGCGTAGGAGGAAATACGATGCTACCAAGCCGACCAATCACCGATCTTGCGGTCTGCGTCGTCGCGACGTGTAGTTACATTTTTGAGGAGGTGCGCGTAAGGCGACGGGTACGCGATATGGGACGCGTCCGTGGGTATGCTACGCCGTACCTACCCTACGCAGAAGTATAAATTGGCCTTCATTCTCAATGATACATGATCTGGCGTTAGCCATGCTACATTTGCGTGAGAATGAATCTCATTGGTTCTGGCATGCTTGAGCTTTCGCTTACCACTTGGAAAACCTCTCAGATTTCATGATGAATGAAAGTCTTGCGAGTTTGGCGTGTAAATAATGACAAAATGGTCATTGTTGGGTGAACTGCTCCTTTTACAGATTGATGTCCTTTAAATTTGCACCGATTTGGTCTGGCAAAGAAATAAATAATCGTCGAGTCTGAGGACAACCACTGGAAAGATTGTGGTCATCCATCTCATAATTACAGTAACTCCAACAGGACATAAATGCAGCATTTAATCTGGATCAACATAATGAGCACAACGCATGAAGAATAACTCAGAATCGCTGTTGAAAGCACTCACTGGAAGTGACGGACATGGGTCTTTTTAATGTTTCGACGGTAAAACACAAACTAGTCTGGAATATTGCTTTGCGGCAGCTATTTACAGAACTGCGAAACAAACAAATAAAAATAAAAAAAGTAGTCACAGATACAATCTGATCTAGACACATACAGCTCACATTCTTGTGTGTTTTGAGTGGTCCTCTTCCAAAACAATAATAATTAAAAAAAAAACAAAAAAAAAACTGTAAACATAAAAAATTACACTTTATTTGTCGTTTTCGTGGAATCATCTGTGCGATCAGTACATTAGCCTCATGATCACTCGTGTTTACCCTTTATAAACCTTTAAATTCAGTCCCGCTGGAATCAGCTGCTCCCAAAGAGCAATGGTTCTCCCAGTGGATTCAAGTAAACGTCTCACATTGTTTTCTCCGTTATTTTATTCCTCAGGGAAAGCGCGCCTTCATCCGTTTGTACTGACTGGAAGTTTCCTAAGAGCTTTCTGACTGCTCTATCTCTCTCGCGATCAAAGCGCAAACCTCATTTTCGTCTCAGGGAACAAAGAAAACCAACGAGAAAAATCAAAACAGACAAAGATTTGTGTTTCTGTTTTCCAATCCTTCCAATAAACCTGTGATCTGTGGCCCCTAAAGTTACACTTTTCCTTAATTTTTTGTTTCACTTAACACACACGCGCGCACCCACACACACACACACACACACAACAGAATGAACATTTGTTTGGAAGCAAGGTCTCCTGGTGGCAAGTCACAAATTTTCAGAGGTCACATTTCCCGCACGTGTTGGATGATTTGTTATCCTTCTATACTTGTTGTGGTTGTTGTGTGTCTAGTCTCGCTTGTCTTGGAGCTGCTGCTTCCAGGCCTCGTTCAAGTAAACCAGTCGCTTGTAGTTGAGCACAAACAAGATGAAGTTCAGTAGGTACGTGGTGACGCAGATGAAGCAGAAGTCCTTAAGGACAAAGTAGAGAATGTAGCCCAGGTACAGGGAGCCCATCACCGACGCGATGGAGGTGGTCATGAGAATCAGAGCGGCCATCGCACTGGCCGTCAAACCTACACACACACACACACACACAGCAGTTAATGCACTGAAGCACTGCCACCGCATTCAATATAATAACCTTCACACAGGATGGTATGTGTAAGAATATGATTTTGAAGATGAAAATGATGCAGCAAATGTATTCATGTCATTCAGCATTAAGAAGCTATATTCACAGAGATGTAAAAACTACAAGAATGCAATGTACAATTACACCATTTGCACTATAAAATCAACTGCAAAAAGTCATTTCATTAAAAAAAAGATTACTACTTTGTTATTTCTTCATTTTTACACACACACACACACAATATGGAAATAAATAATAGAAATAAACAATATAATTCTTATAGAAAATCCACTCTATAAAAATCATAATTTCTTCATTTTATAGTTATTTTAATGCCACATCGGCAAACACCAGTGTTGGGTGTAACTAATTACTAAGTAATTAGTTACTGTAATTTAATTACTTTTCCCTTGAAAATGTAAAGTAAGGGATTACTCTTCATTTATCTGTAATTTAATTACAGTTACTTCTGATGTAATTGAGGTAAATACTGTGCATCAATCCGATCTCACAGCGATTCGTATTCATTTTATGAGGTGTCTAAATATTTCGACCGCACTCGTACAAATTCGTATGAATTATTGTAAAATATGTATGAAAAAAGTGTGAAATGTAATGAGATCAGACACAAAACAATAGTGGGTTTAGCATCAAAATATATTGTCTAATGTTAAAAAGTATGTTTTTATAATGTAACCTTCTTCACCTTGTTCAGTTTAAGGATAATTCATGCAATTTTATAATATTTATTTGAAAGAATTAAAACAGATGTCTATCCTTGTATTATTCAGCTGGTTGAGATTGATATGGGATTTTGAAAGTAATTAGTAATTAAAAGTAATTAAATACTTTTTAGAGAGAGTAATTCGTACAGTAATCTAATTACATTGTTGAAGAGGTAATTAGTAACTAGTAACTAATTACTTTTTTAGAGTAACTTACCCAACACTGGCAAAGACATAATATAAAGACTTATTTAGTGCACTATAGATGTGTAAACAATAAAATATGGGAATAATAAACAACAATAATCTTCTTATAACAACAAAAAATATATATGTTATCAGTTGAATCACCAGATTGAGTTTGTTTAACACTAATAATTTCTTACAAGAAAAATCCAAGCCAAATGTCCTCAACTCCTTCACTTGTCACTTCACATGCCAACACAATGAATACTGAACGAATGACACGTATTGTCACTCAGGCTGTTTCTATTTCTGTAACACGCAGAGAGCGTTTCAAAATCACACACTCATGAGGTTGCATTGCAGTTAAGATGATGATTTAAAGGGTAAGTGCCTTCGTAGACAAACAACTACATTGGTTGAGTGTCAAATGAGTGGGCGTGGCTTATGACAAGGGGGCGGGGCAATGGTCAGGCTTGACCTTTCCTCCACTAATCATCGCTTGACCCCTTTGGAAAAGGGAACGTTTCTCCTGAACAGAGGGCATTCAACACACACACACACACACAGGCACAGGCACAGTCTGGCTATTCATAGTCATGAAATTGCATTAGGGCAGAGCAGGACAAAAAGATCACACACACACATTTACGCAGCAGACAAGGACAGGAGAGAGGAAGACCTTCAGACTCGCGTCTGAGATTCGGGTCATAGTGGAGATCAAGATTTCAGAAATTAAAAACATGTTCAAGTGTCTGTTGGTTCAAGGCTACACACACACACACACACACACACGAGGGATCTGTTGCGAAACTGTGACCTCGACATAGCAGCCTTTAGAGGCCCACTATAACAGAAATTAAACGTCATTTTTTCACGTTTTAATTCATATATTAAACCTTTGCTGTAGCTTATCTGACAAAAAAAATGCAATGTTTTTGAAAAGGAATTGTTCTTTTTTCACTTGATTCATTGATTAAGCTGTTAAAGTTTTATAAATTAATTTGATTACCACTGTATTTGATGATAAATTTGTAGTAAAGCGTAAAAACGACATGGAGTTTGGGAAAGAAATACAACATATTAGGGGTGCACGATATATCGGTATCGGCCGATATTTGCTCATTTTTATGTTATCGTTATCGGCCCGATAATAAAATTTGGCTGATATATTAAAGCTGATAAATAATGAATTATTTCCTTCAACACTTGACACCTGAGACACTTAAGATGCGCACTGTTCAACATGATTGATCTTAATTGCTTGAAATATGATTGGAATCAAAGAGGAAAACATAGTTAAGTGCAAAATGTGCTGTCCTATCAGCTATATGAAATTATAACGAGAACATTACAATTGTGTTAGTGGACGAATTTTAATTGTGAGACTTTTGTTTTTGCAATCAGGCTTTCAAAAATTATATAAAAATTGGATTTAGATTTATCGGCCGATATATCGGTTATCGGCTTTCGAAAATAAAGAATTATCGGTTATCGGTATCGGCCAAAATGTTCATATCGGTGCATCCCTACAACATATTTCATAGGGACCTGTTATTGTTAAAGTATTCAATTTTAAATATTAAGAATATTAAGTATTAAATTGTTAAAGTTTTCTGATTGAACTTAAATTCAACAAAGCAAGACACCACTCGTGAATAGGGTAAAAATTATAAAATTTAGCTTTTGAAAAAATTGTATTTCAAATTTTCCGAATTGTTGTTAAAATAAGAAAATGAATCATTTCTATTAAATATAAAAATAATGGGCAAACATTTTCATAACAGAAATCTGAACACCAGGTTCAAAGTTAGTTTCATTAGGTTTTTACAGTGCGTAAATCTTTTTATCACTCCAAAACATCAGAAAATACTGTCAATAGACAGAAAAACAATATAACAATGTTTTTAGGAATACCAAGCAAATGATATGAACTAGAGCCAGACCGATATATCGGCCGGCCGATATTAGGCATTTTCAAAAATATCGGTATCGGCAGTTATAATGGCCGATAAATGAATATTTAAAAAATAAAATAAAAACGGATGAAACACGCTTCAATCATCATCTCTCCTTGGCCTGTTATATTGAAAATGTATGTTTTACAAATTGCAGTATGATGTTATCTATTGCTAAATTATGGCTCATCATAGACTAGCCAACCACAAAGCTAGCTAACGTTAACATTAATGAGATTGGAAACAACAATGAACTTTTTCTGCCTAAATGAAGTAATTATTACTGTATTTATAACTAGCATATCTCTAGTTACAGTCCCTGCATTGTAAAATGCAAGCTATACTTGCGAGGAGTGAACATTTAGACTTAGAGAAAAAGTATCAAACGTATCTTGTGCAGAAAAGTTAGCTTTTCTTTTACACGTGTGTGAAATCCAACAATATTTAATAAAACAAAATATCGGCCGATATATCGGATTTTAAAACCAAAAAATATTTGTATCGGTATCGACCTTCAAAATCCTTTATCGGTCGGGCTCTAATATGAACATCTTCAGAATATACAAGTAGGAATAAAAGTGTTTTTAAGCTGCTGAAGTGGAGATCTCCGACCCAAACTCACAGATTTTAATGATATGGATTGAAATTTAAATAGATAAAGTTCAATAAAATAAAACCCTTCAATCTTTGGATGTTTTCTTTCCACTAGTCTGAAAAAAAGAGACACGACATTAAAAGCAAATCTCAAAATTGAACGGTGCATGAAAAAAAAGTTTTAAAATGGAAAATGTGGGGGTAAAAATTAAAACTGACTTGGTATTTGGCATAGCAAGCGCCTCAATACAATCTTTAATTGCCACTTTAGAAGGCAGCTCGTTTGAGTAACTGAACTAACAGCCTCTCCGACTCCATCCATTCAAATAAGAAGAGAAACTGCACCAAATGTAAAACAGTTTAAAGGAAGTGCAAAACGATTCCACGATTACAACCGTCCATCACTCAGAGAGCCAACCGCGCGCTGGCATTATGCAAATGTGCTGCAATAGTGTGAAGAAAGACTTCAGTGTGTCCACTTATAGAAGCACAATGAACCTGAGGACAGATCAGCAGAGTCAGCAAAGCCCACATGACCGCTGAGGAACGGAGAACGGCACATTATGAGGCAGGCGTGTGTGTAGGAATCAGTCAGGTTGGTCAAGGCTAGACATCCAACAACCCAGTAGCCGATTAGTCGGCTACTGAACAAAATTATAAACACAACACGTTTTTTGCCCCCATTTTTTAAGAGCTGAACTAAGGTGATATGGGCAATAATCACGATAATTTTTTTTATATCAGTCGATATCGATAATTATCACGATACAGTCAAATCTTCATTTCTTTCAAGTTTAACCCTCTGATGGTCCTCGGTCACTTCTGACCGAATAATTTTCTGTTTTGAATTATTAAGATTCACAGCTTCATCGGAAGGTTATGATACTTGGTGACTTTTTTGGCATTTGGTATGTGAATACAAAAAAATATTGAGGTCATAATCCGAGCATGCTAAGTGGTCGTAAAAAAAATAGTCACACTCGTGGTCTTCGGTCATATGAATTTTTGTTTGTACAATCTACAAATCAGCCACGATTCTTAAAAGTACAACACCGCAGTAAAGGGTTGACACTCTACAACATCAAGAGTGCAAAAAACACCCACCCACACACACTTTTACACACATACACACCAATAAATTCAGACTACAAAAAATCTGTTTTGAATTTTTTTAAATCACAGCTTCATCTGAATGTTACGAAACTTAGTGACATTTCTGGCATTAGGTATGTGAACACACAAAAAATTAAGTTCATGATCCGAGCATGCTAAGTTGTCGTAAAAAAAATTAGTCACGATTTTGGTCTTTGGTCAAAAATGAGGTTAGGGTTAGGGTTAGGGTTAGTAATTTCATTGAATCTCACACACACACAAAAAAAAGTCTAGGTCATATTTCATCCTAGAAGCAAAAAGGTTATTTTAGGATCATACGGTTTTTGTCATGGCAACAATTTTTCATGACATTGAAAAATTATGACATCCCTATGGATACTTTGAGTTTTTGCACTGTTAACAACCATGTTATGATAATAACACACCCAGATGAGGTGAATAAGACATAATGAAGCTGATAGACTGAGGCGTTTGCCTAACAATCCGTCAAGCCAGGAGTCGTGAGGTTAAACTAAGGTTGTGAATGTTTGACGTGTGTTTTATCACTGAAACGACTAGAGATTTCACCCGTCAGCGGTGACAGATATGAACAAGGAAGGCATTAATTCAGAGGTCTGTGAGGCCGCTTTAGATTACAGACATTAAAGTTCCTACTATAACCTGATACGCTCGCACATCCCTTACAGTATCAGTCTCAATCCTGTTACAGGAAACGATACGAGTTAACTTTCCTCTCTGGCTAATACAGACACTGTACACTACACAAACTGATGTGAACTATCAGGTGTTTCGCAAATAAACCTAGACGGAGACAGGAATGTTATCACCCACGAGTTTCAACATAAATCCCACACTAGTAAATGTAGTTTAAGGAACTGGAAACACCATGTGTGTTCTTGTGTTAAAATTATGGCTGCTTGATTATGGGAAAAATCCTAATTTAACATCATTGACTTTGGAAACTTCACTTATTGTTTTATTTTTAGTTGTCTTTTTTATCAGTGTATTTCATTGATCTTTGAATATATCATTTATCTAAAAAACATACAAATGAACAAAAACAAATTTGTAATTCAACACCACTGACTTTAGAAACTTCACCTATTATTTTATGTTTAATTGTCTTTTTATTAGTGTATTTCATTGATCTTTATATTGGGGCTGTCAAACGATTAATCGCATGCAAAATAAAAGTTTGTTTTTACATAATATATGTGCACTGTGTATAACTATTTTGTATATATATATATATATATATATATATTAGGGCTGTGCAAAAATTAATTGCGATTAATCGCATCCAAAATAAAAGTCTGCGTTTACATAATATATTTGTGTGTGCTGTATATAATTATTTTGTATATATAAATACACACACATGCGTGTATATATTTAAGAAAATGTGTTATTCATATATAAAATATTTATATTTATATAATATGGATTATGTATTTATATATATATATACACGCATAATTTAAGCACAAATTATTCTTAAATATATACATGCATGCATAGGTATTTATATATACAAAATAATTATATACAGCACACACAAATATATTATGTAAACACAGACTTTTATTTTGGATGCGATTAATCGCAATTAATTTTTGCACAGCCCTAATATATATATATATATATAAATACACACACATGCATGTATATTTAAGAAAAAAATATTATTTGTATATAAAATATTTTTTATACATGCACCCACATATATTATGTAAAAACAAACTTTTATTTTGCATGCGATTAATCGCGATTAATTTGTTTGACAGCCCTAATATAAATATAACACATTTTTCTTAAATATATACATGTGCGTGTATATATACAAGCCAAATAATTAAACACAGTACACACACACACATATATTATGTAAACAAACGTTTATTTTGGATGCGATTAATCGCGATTAATCGTTTGACAGCCCTTCTTTAAATATATAATTAAAATGAAAAACAAAAGTAATTCAACACTTTTGACTGGGAAACGAACTATTTTATTTTTTATTGTTTTATTTTTAATCAGTGTAATTCATTGATCTTTGAATATATAATTCAACTGAAAAATATAAAAAAATAAATAAAATATCAAAAAACAATAAAAACAAATTATATCAAAATAAAATTGCACTTCCACACCTACTGAAATCTACTAAACACCATAACAGTTTCTCAATTATATTGTTTTCATAACTGTCAAAATAAAGTCAAGTCAATTTTATTTGTATAATGTTTTCGCATACACATTGTTTCAAAGCAGCTTTGCAGAAAAAAAACATGATGTTAAAGTTCATTATATCTTCATGCCTTTTAGATTAGAGCTGGGCGACAATATGGTTTACATTTTGTGATGATACAAGCAGTTTATATCGCTCTATATAATATAATATAATATTGATACATAAGGTATCATGTAAAGAGCTGGGCGATATAAACAATCAAGCGGTTGAGAAATTGTAAGTGAAAATAGCACTAGTTTAAATAAAGCTACATTGAACAAAAGTGCACGCAGAAATCTCAACACATTTTTAAAAGTTGAACTTGATGCAGAACGGAGAGTAAAAAAAACAATGCACTCAAAGACCAAAGACATTCATCAGGGACCAGTAGACGCGTTAGTTTGAAATATCAAGATTCTGGCCATAAAGGAACATTTATTATGGCATATACTTTCTATACTGGTATATCCCTAATAAAATACCTGTTAGGGCTGTCACTTTACGATTGAAAAACGATTGCACAATCGATCGGACCAACCAACACAAGTTTCGAAAACGAAAATAGGGAATCGATTTTAACGGCCTTACTGAAACGTCTTTAGACAGATATAGTTATCGCTTCAATGAACACTTAGCCCATGTCTGAAAAATCAAACAGGATTTTTTTCACAAAACCTGTTAATGTAAAACAGTGGCATAATCTGCATATCATAATGAGGTTTATGATCGTTCTTACCTAGTAACAGCTGAAAGACATAAAACAAAATCCCATAGACACTGTTTGGCTGGTTTACTGCACTGTCGTTCCCAAAAATGGATCCCAACAGTCCAAATCCTCGACCCCATCTAGAGAGAAGATGAAAACACAACAGAAAGAAACAGTAAAAAAGCAGAAGTTGAAAGCAGACAACATTAGAGACTATATATATATATATATATATATCTTAGCGCTCAGGGCTCCACTTGGGAACACAAGAACATTAAGACAGAATATCTGGCCTAAATCAAAACTACACAATGATCAAGGCATCCGCATATAAACACAAAAAGTTTCCCTTTATTGGTGCGAACTGAGATTTCTGACCCAAATTGTTTGAAACTACACCAATAAAGGAGAAATGTGGTGGTTTCCAGTCACATCCAATTCCAGCATTTGCAGTCCAGACACTGCAAGGATAAATATTGGGTAAAAATAGTCAATTTTAACTGCATTATATTTAACGCTCTACTGACAAATAAACATGAATTTCTCGGACCAGGTAGCACGGAGATCGATTAAACATTGTTTATTCACATATATTACCAACACAATAAACAATAAAAAGCATTTTGAAAATTGACAAATCATCGTGACGACTCTTAAGATGATTAAATGGTAATATTATTATAATTGATAGGTAGATGGTTTCATAAAATGACTATCTTGCTAGTCTTTTATTGCTGTAACTTAATCACTTTTTACTGAGTCTGAGTGTCTTTTAGATCACAACACTAGAGTAGAGTCAGCGCACTATAATTGTTCTTCACACGCACAGTAGCCTAACTGAAATTTAAAACTGTTAAAAGAAAAGTGAATAAACTATTCAGGGCTCCAGACTAACTTTTTTTACTAGGAGCGCTGTTGCCCCTGACTGAAAATTTTAGGAGCGCAAGCAGAAAATTTAGGGGCACACCTTAAAGGGTTAGTTCACCCAAAAATGAAAATTCTGTCAGTACTTACTCACCCTCATGTTGTTCCAACCCCGTAAGACCTTCGTTCATCTTCGGAAAACGAATTAAGATATTTAAGATATTAAAATCGCTCCTGCATACAGTCCATAGGCTTCTTGAGGGACTGGCTCTTGCCGTCCCCGAAAAGTCATAAAAGACATCGTTAAAATAGTCCAAGTGACTACAGGGGCTCAATCTTAAGTTTATCAAACGACGAGAACACTTTTGTGCGCAAAAAAACAACAAAAATAACGACTTTATTTCAACTATTCGTTTATTTTTCCCTTTGCCTCGAGTCAGCTAACTAGTTTAATAGCGTAAGCTTCTGTTATTGTACGTCACACGCATCACACACACATGACCAGCGTCGACCAATAGTGAGCCTACGTGTGACGTAGCTCTACGCAATCACACTACGTTAACGGACTATAGGCTTATGGAGAAGGAAGTGAATAGTTGAAATAAAGTCGTTATTTTTGTTGTTTTTTTGCGCACAAAAGTGTTCTCGTCGTTTGATAAACTTAAGATTGAGCCCCTGTAGTCACTTGGACTATTTTAACGATGTCTTCAATTACTTTTCGAGGACAGCAAGAGCCAGTCCCTCAAGAAGCCTATGGACTGTATGCAGGAGCGATTTTAATATCCTAAATATCTTAATTTGTGTCCCGAAGATGAACGAAGGTCTTACGGGGTTGGAACAACATGAGGGTGAGTAAATACTGACAGAATTTTCATTTTTGGGTGAACTAACCCTTTAAATAAGCTCGCAATGCAATTATTCAAATTTACCCCAACATAACTGTAATACTGACAAATTCTTTAATAATAAATAGACTTAACATTATGATATGCTGTTTTATTTTAAGTTCACAGGGCTCCAGACTCAAATTTGAAGGCAGCACCACCTCAAATCAGAACTCGAGTTAGCCTATACAAAAAAAAAAAAAAAAAAAAAAAAACTGGTAGCACTGGGCTGACAATAAATCACTTAGATTAATTTAGTTATTATCACTTATAATGTCTTAATATTAATTAAAAACAAAAGGAGAGAAAACATGTATGTATATAAGGACTTGGAGTAAAAATAGCCAATAAACATCTTACTGTTTACAATGTTTTTTTGTTTTTTAAAAAAAAAAATAATAATTTTAATCTTTAAATAAGAGTTTTCCAACATCTTAAAATTTTTTGTTTTAGGACAATCTTTGAAGAATGAACAAAAAATGTGTTGATCATCACAAAAAAAATACAAAAAATAAAACATTTATATATGATATTATCGTTTTGAAGAGCAGGACAAAGATGTGTAGGCTACGTTGTAAGCGTTTGACATCATATTTATGGTTAGAGTTAACTTACTACATTAGCCTAAATTCATGGAGAATGTTGCTGATTTGTGGACTGAAAGCCTTCTGTAAGTCTTTCTCCTGGTTTCCACGTCAGCGCTGTTTGATCTGATATCTGTGGTTTATAACTCTGCGCCAAATCGGAATGTTTCTCACTGGATCTCGTAGCGATTATGTTATTAATTCTGAGGTGAATTCAATGGATTTATTCACTGGATCTGCTAGTAACAGTGTCGCGTGATCGAGATCGCCCGCGACTGGCAAGTTCGGGGCTTTATTACTGTCGGTGGTTCGGGGGGCTCCACTATGGGCTGCTCTGTCTATTATGTCCAAACTAATCAAAACGCTAACGGTCCGTCCGTGAGTTGCGTATTTTAGTTCCACTTTCATTTTGTTTGTATTCGCTGCTAGGTAACGTGTCGATAGATCGCTTACTGCTCAGACGCACATTGCAGGTTGTGATATTTGTCTCCGTCACAGACGTTTAATCGCGCTATTCTTGTCACGGATTCATTGACGCGTCCCTTCCAGTTCCACGCCCATGCGTTTAACGTGTGGCAAATTTACCGGTCGCACGTGTGCGACTGGATGTAAAATTCAGTCGCACACTCTAAAATTTTGGTCGCAAAATGCGACTATTTGGTCGCAGTCTGGAGCCCTGCTATTGCATAGATACTGTATAATACACTATGCATTGATTCGATATGTCTTTCTCTTTCCTTGGTGCTTTTCAATGCGGCGGACTCGAAGAGCGGCACGTCGCCCTGTGACTCCGTGTTGCTTCAAGCGCATCATTCAGCGCTGTGTTCAGCACTGTTTTGGAGTCTTTCACATACTTTTGCGCAATGAAAGCTTATTAATAGCCTTTCTTGTTCTGTCCTATCTATTATATGTTGCTGCCTCAATAAACAGCCGTGCTTTACATTTAAAACAGCTGTGCATCTTATTTTTACGTTATTTTACAACAATACAAAGAGCAATGTGTAACGATTTACCAAATTTAGTGCTACACTTCTTGTCTCTTATTTGTTCCCCACTAAGGAATGTTTTTTTTTCACTAAATGTTCAGATTTTATACAATTATTGTGCGCTTGTGATTTTTCTAGTCTAAGTTTTGCCGAGTTATCCACTAATCTAGTTTACAATAGCATTTTTGTCATAGGTTATGGTCATATATATATATTATTTGTTGTTTTTCTTTATAGTGAAGTTGTCTGTATTAAGTAGATTGTTTAACACACAAAATAGTGATTATCAGATCAATGAGGCCTCACCCTGCTCGCCACAACCCTGATTTAGGGTTTTATTTAGTTATAATAAACAAAAAAATTAAATAAAATTTTTATCCGATTAATCGATTAATTGAAAAAATAATCGTCCGATTAATCGATTATCAAAATAATCGTTAGTTGCAGCCCTACTCTTATATGGGTCTGTAACTGTTTCTATAATCCAACCCTGAAAAAGGCCTGTAACAGCACTTCAGCTTCATCAAAGAGCCAACCGTGCCAAACACCACAGGTCATGCCCAGTCTCTTCCATATGTCCCATGATCATTCCCAATCAAACCTTCAGTGTCTCAGTGTACAGTTTTTCTGTAGCTCAAACAGTAGAGCATTGGCCCTTGCAACACCAAGGTCATGGGTTCGATTCCCAGGTAAAGAACTGATAAGATTGTAAATGTGTCCCTTGAAATGCAATGCAATGTAAGTCGCTTTGGATAAAAGCGTCTGCCAAATGCATAAATGTAAATAAGTTTCTCCAACACACAACAAAAATATCAGGATTATTAGCAGGCAAAGTCTGCGCACCAGACATGCACAATACATTTTTCGTCTAATGCTCACTCACCGACTGTACTCTCAAAACATGCAAAAACAACTGAAGGATGGTGGGAGAATATGTGAAAAAAATAATTTAAAAAAAAAGGTTTATTTGTACTTAAAGGGTTAGTTCACCCAAAAATGAAAATTCTGTCAGTATTTACTCACCCTCATGTTGTTCAACCCCGTAAGACCTTCGTTCATCTTCGCAACACAAATTAAGATATTTAAGATATTAAGATCGCTCCTGCATACAGTCCATAGGCTTCTTGAGGGAATGACTCTTGCTGGCCTCGAAAAGTCATTAAAGACATCGTTAAAATAGTCCAAGTGACTACAGGGGCTCAATCTTAAGTTTATCAAACGACGAGAACACTTTTGTGCGCAAAAAAACAACAAAAATAACGACTTTATCTCAACTATTCGTTTATTTTTCCCTTTGCCTCGAGTCAGGTTACTAGTTTAATAGCGTAAGCTTCTGTTATTGTACGTCACACGCATCACACACACATGACCAGCGTCGGCCAATAGTGAGCCTACGTGTGACGTAGCTTTACGCAATCACACTACGTTAACTGACTACAGGCTCATGGAGAAGGAAGTGAATAGTTGAAATAAAGTCGTTATTTTTGGTTGTTTTTGCGCACAAGAAGTGTTCTCGTCGTTTGATAAACTAAAGATTGAGCCCCTGTAGTCACTTGGACTATTTTAACGATGTCTTTAATGACTTTTCGAGGCCAGCAAGAGCCAGTCCCTCAAGAAGCCTATGGACTGTATGCAGGAGTGATCTTAATATCTTAAATATCTTCATATGTGTTGAGAAGATGAACGAAGGTCTTACGGGGTTGGAACAACATGAGGGTGAGTAAATACTGCCAGAATTTTCATTTTTGGGTGAACTAACCCTTTAAATTATTTGATGAGTGAATGAGCCAGATATAGTTATTATGAAACAATAAACAATGCAACAATAGAATATAAACAATGAAAATCTAACAATTAAACAATCAAACAACAAATACATAGCCTATAGCATATAATTAGTTGCTCTATACATAGCAATTACACAAGCTTGATCACCCATAATGCTTCGTGGGATTGGGCGTTCTCTGAAAAGCTCTTTTAAAATGACGTTCATTGCCAAGGTAACAGTGATTTCTCTTAGTGGTGGATCTCTGCAGGATTATGGGGTCGTTCCTCACTGGGATTTTGCCTTTTAAAAATGCTTTCTTAAACTTGTGGCTTGTACTGTCTGTAAATAGTCTCAGACATTACACTAACAAACTGTTGGCTAAACATTTGATGCATAAGGCACATAAAATCGGAAACACTTCAGGAGTTTTAAAGTCATCATCTGATTGGTTGAATTCTACAGGACTTATGGAAGATGTGCGAGTCGCTTCCGTTCACAGTCTACCTGGAAATGATGCCAAACCCCCTCATGGAAAAAGAAAGCTGTAATGGTTATAACTGTGATAATGAGCGTTTATCAGGATCAACTAAAAGATGCATTTTCAATTATGTAAAGCATGGGATAAACTTTGTCAAATACATCCAAGAGTTTTGCACGCCTGTCTTTTATTGTAGGCGTCATTTTCACACCCCTAAACAAAACAAACTGTGATTGGTTGCTTTGCATGTCAGTCAGACGGCCTCTTCGAAGTTATTGGCCAATGAAAGACGCGATTGAGTCCAGACTAGTCTGTAAAGCTTTGTACATTACTGTTAAAAAACATTTTCCTTATGGACAAATTAAATTGAATTTTTTACTTAAAGGACAATTTTTGCTCTTTTTAAGGACCTAGTCAATTCAATTTCTGATACCTGCATCAAAATAATGCTATTATCTTCTGTTCTAGTGTCTGCATTTCAGGTTTGCTGCACTCCAAATTAATTCCACTTTAAATACAAGAGTTCACTGGTCTGAAACTGCAAACAAGCTATGAGCATTGACCCATTAGACTATCTTTGGTTTGTCTGCCAACTCCATTTGAGATGAGATATATATTCCTCTTAGAGCATAAAATAACATCTTTCCCCTTCCACAAACCTTTAGATAGGAGTGCAGTGAAGACTCAATGATCAACGCTGTGTGGATTCCCAACAGAGCGGCGAAACATAGGCCTAGCAAAAGATCTCGATCATGCAAAGCCATCTGAACTCTGCACAATTAAAGGATTAGTTCACTTTTGAAAAAACTTTTGCTGATAATTTACTCACCCCCATGTCATCCAAGATGTCCATGTCTTTCTTTCCTCAGTCGAAAAGAAATTTAGGTTTTTGATGAAAACATTCCAGGATTTTCCTCCATACAATGGACTTCAATGGGAACCGGATGGTTCAAGGTCCAAAGATATTCTTAATGACAGTTTCAGATGCAGCTTCAAATGTCTTTAAATGACACCAGACGATGAATAAGGGTCTTATCATGCGAAACGATCGGTTATTTCAAAACTTATTCCAAAAATGTAACTTTTCTAAGGACAAATGCTAGCCTTGCTCTATTCTCTGAGGCGCGTTTGTAACGTCACGTAATACGTAATTACGTTCAAAAGGTCACGAGCGACGTAGCCGGAAGTACAGAATCAAAATCGTCCGACATCGTTGTTTTACCTTTTAATTCCTTTTTTTGTAAACGGTGTTTGAGCTAGTTTGCACGTTCAACCTATGCGTTCAACTTGTAAACACTGACTCTGTACTTTCGGCTACGTCGCCCGTGACCTTTCGAACGTAATTACGTATTACGTGACGTTACAAACGCGCCTCACAGAATAGAGCAAGGCTAGCATTTGTCCTTAGAAAAGTTACATTTTTGGAATAAGTTTTGAAATAACCGATCGTTTCACATGATAAGACCCTTATTCATCGTCTGGTGTCGTTTAAAGACATTTGAAGCTGCATCTGAAACTGTTATTAACTGTCTTTTGGACCTTGAACCATCCGGTTCCCATTGAAGTCCATTATATGGAGAAAAATCCTGGAATGTTTTCATCAAAAACCTAAATTTCTTTTCGACTGAGGAAAGAAAGACATGGACATCTTGGATGACATCTTGGGGGTGAGTAAATTATCAGCAAAAGTTTTTTTCAAAAGTGAACTAATCCTTTAAGTTTATAAATGTTGGTTCCCTTTAAGAGCAAGACTGATTAAGAGACGAAGCCTGATTATGTAACGTTCCTGAAAACCTTCACCCAGCTGGGACTTTTGTTTGGTTGTTTTGCCTGTTGAACACTCGGAACATTCCTCTGTCAGCATATAACCCAATCACCAAAGCAAGATATGCTAAAACACAGCTCTTAAACTACACTTGATGGTAATAAAATAAGTGACCATGATATATAATGATGTCCTATTTATCTCAGTGATGAGTGGGCACATCACAGATCAAGCCAGAGACTCTATTAATACCAGATCTGCAAGACACATGAAGCACATCCAAAGCAGTTCTGTCTGCCGTCATCTCGATAAGCGAAAGAAAAATAATCCCTTATGAAAGCTGATCTATCCTGATATATATCAGTTAAAAAAAAAATATATATATATATATATATATATATATATCAAATGAAGGATACGCCCTCACACGTTATCATTACATTATTACTTTAATCTAATCAGTATAAACAAATGATGATATTATCATAGTTCAAACCATAAAATAAAGTAAGCACTATAAATAATTGCTAAACCACACCATTAAAGGTCAGATCATGTGTGAGGGTGTCTCCTTCAGTAGTAAAATCAGGAACTGACTTCTCATATATAAACCACACTGATTTTAAAGGTTACTAAACCAAAGTTGAACCCAGATCAAACCCATCCACTTCTTCAGCCATATACATCAATAACAACACATTTAAAGGTGCAGATAAACGTCATATGTTATAAACTGATGACAGGTATGAAACAGCCTGTTGTACTCATGTAAGAGATGTGCTGTCATGTTAGCTGAATATGCTTATAAATAAATGAGTGTCTTTGATTTCACCCCCAAACCACAATTTATTTATATTTATTCTCATAAATGAACGCATATGAAATAATATGAGTATTATTACAACATTCAGCACACTGATATTGAACTCATTCACTCATTAGCACGGTTAGCATTAGCTGCTACTGTGTTTGTGTTTCACAAGACAAAAGCCACACTCAAATACAGCTTTAAAAGAAAGTCGTTTCATTTATATTTAGATGTGTGGCCTACGCCAATAAGCTTTTTCAAGAAAACACCATAAACATAAGACTAATATTTTTATTTGATAAAATTCTCAGTCAGTGAGGCGGCCCGGAGCGACTCTCCGGCTGTGTGTCAAAACCAACCGAAACCCCCTATCTAGATAGCATTTTCAGCTCTTCACGCGCGTATTTAAACTCTGAAACGCCCCTAAAATGAACTAAAAATAAACAAAAGGGGTCGAAATGTTGTTTCCGAGCGCTCAAGCGCACCTATGACAGACACAAACGTTGTCTATGTAGGGAAGTCGCTAGGTTTTGACACACAGCCCCTCTCTCTCTCTCACCTGGACATGAAGACTTTGGAGCAGCTGATGGAGCTGCTCAGGTCGCACATGGCGCGGTAACTGGCGTCGCGAGTCTTTTCCCTCTCCACATGGAAAGCGTACAGGGATATCAGGATTCCTGAGAGACACACGAGAAGCCGGACTATCCGCTCCCAGCGAGGGGTGGACACTCGCAAGACGGGCGCCGCCATTTTTTCCCGGCCTAAGCACGAACGCGCGCAGCCTCCCCTGCCTCAACCGTTGGGCGCGCGACGTGGAAAAGCGTCGGGACGTGTCATCAGACCATGGGGGCGTGGCTTTGGCATAATGTGGGCGTGGTCTGTCCGACAAGGCTTGTGTCTATCAAGCGTCTCGCCATTCTTGTGTTAGTGGGGGCTTTTATAATAGAATAAAATTCAGGGCGTCTTTGTGTGGCCCTTTGCCCTCTGATTTCACACCCGCATGTAGTAAAAAGCTGCAGGCGTGTACAGAAAGAGAGAACTTACAGAGAGAGTATCTGTGTATAAAGAAAGAGAGAACTTTTGATTAACTTAGGCTACATAATATTAAATTCAAATTATTGGCATGACTGTAAATAATACAATACTGCCAAAGCTTGGAATACAATGATAATAAAAACATTGAAATAATAGAAGAAAATATTATAACATAACTTATATTATGTGTGAACATTTGATTGTTTTAACCCTTTTACAGTCTGGTTTTAACACACATTGGGTCACTGTGGTGGACAGTAGGGAAACATATACTTATATTTATATATACTTATATTCTTATATTAGATTGCTGGTTAAAAAATAAAAACAATAATAATTAATTACATTTAAAGTCCCCGTGAACCGGAAGTTGCAAACGATTTTTCTCCAGTGCTGTGACGTATTTCCAAGTGAAACGGAATATTGAACAGAGGGCAGGGTTTTACTCTAGCGCTCCTCCTCTCCATCTCTCGCTCATAGCAAACTAACGGTTTGAGGGGAGTGGTTAAGCGTTTCCCCACCCAAACTGTGAAACCTACGTCATCAGAAAAAGAAACCGTTCCAGACCGGAAGTAACTTTTCAGATTTTGATTAAAGATTACTAAGGTAAAACATTTTTTTTATATATATTCACTTGCACGGATTAATTGTTCACCACAAGACTAGTAATATGGGCTAACAAAGTAAATAGGTTCAATTTTGATTTCACGGGGACTTTAAACAGCGCTTTTCTTTGCACTCAAAGCACTTTACATAGAAGGGGAGTGTTGTCTCAAACACCACCAAGATAACAAAAAGGTTACATGAGGTAAAAAAAATATAAAAATACTGTGAAAAACTTAAATGTGTCATTAATTGTGTGTTTTTGATTTACATTATTTGGTCTACTAACATTGTACTATGTAGGCTATATTGTGCTGATTTTTTTAGCTTAACAGACATCATTAAAAAGAGTTTGCTACTTTAGTTAAAACAAGAGTAAAGTTGGATGACAAATGTTGAAGAAGTTCAAAATAATTTTGAAAAGCTTAAAGTTTGGAGATTTTATTCAGAAAAAGTAAAAACATGTTTCTAACATGATTTGCATGTTGTCAACATAAATTACCATGTCGGTAGCACATTTTAACACATTTTTAGCATGTTGTTAACATTAACATTTTAGCACATTCAGCATTTTACCCTAGCATAGTAGGCAAGCTTTGCTAGTGGTAGACAGCTTAAAATAGTCTATCCAACTTATTAAAATAGTCTATCCACCTTATTAAAATAGTCTATCCACCTTATTTTTTAACGTGTAAGATGTTTTCTCTGAATGTGCGAGACATCAGATTTATTAGCCGCTATGGTGAGAAACTGTAAAACTGTTTGCGCAACAAACTAGCGTGTACATTAAGACAATGCATTAAAATAATATGGTAAGAAAGCAGCAGCATAACGTGCTGTTTTGTACATCTAAAAATAACTGAGAGTGAATGACATCTTTGTGAAGCCATAACGACATTGACATTAATGAAGTTACACCATGAAGTCACACTGCCACATTGTGGCTTGTTTCTGCTGCACCACGTGCTTGCATATTTTGCACTGCTGTGGTTTTCTAAAATGAACATTTATTAAAGACATATGTGCAATATTTTTTTCAAGGTTTCGCAACCATGCTTTGACAGATTTACTAACAATAGCCTAACTGTTGAAGCAAACAGCCTACAGTTAGGCTACACCACCTAAAACTTTGTTACATTTTGGCTTTGGAGAAAAGTGAATCTCATTAAAAAGGAATTACTGAGAAATAACTTTGATTAATTTTTGGAAAAAAAGAGAATAAAGTCGCAACAAATCGAGTCTTCCATAGACGTTGCTTTATTGCCACACACTTTTTTTTCTTTATCGCCGCACATAGTTCGACTTTTTTTTTCGAACGCATTTCTTTACACTAGGCTATGCTTCACACACACACACACACACACACACACAAATAACTTTTATGGAAGACTGTATTCTCTTAATTTTGACTTTATTCTCAAAATATAACTTTATTCTCGTAATTAATTTCGAATAGAATCTTGAAATATTTAGACTTTTATCTTGAAATGCTAGATTTTTTTTTATAAGAGTGAAAAGAAAAACAAAAAAGTTACTTGCATGTTATTGCACACATAGTTTTAACATGTTACTAACATGATGAGCATGTTACTATCATGTAAGTAGTTAAATTGTATTCTTTCCTGCTTAACATGGTTTAATACATTGTTAGCAAGTTTTAACATGTCGCAAGCATTTTTTTAACACGTCGCTAGCATGTTTTAACACATTGTTAGCATGTTTGACATTGTCGTTAGCATGATTAGCATGTTGCTAGCATGGATAGGATGGGAATCATACTGTGAAGGCTGTGCAGAAGTATGCGTGTATATGTCTATGAGAAGTATGTAGGAAACTTAGGCAGACAATCACGTAAATGCTTCTTTTGTAATATATTTTTAAAATTTGTATGGAACATTTTTTATTTGAAATGGTTGGAAAACAAAACAAAACATATGGTTTGTATCACACAGAACTGCAAAACTGCTCAGGAATGCAGTGTGAAATGTATAATATATGACTGACTATATGAAAATATATATATAGTCCTATATGACTTTTTAACGTTGAATGTACTTCTGTCAATAAAAAAGAAGAAAAATATCATGGAAGTGAGCTTTCTTTTTGCATGGAAGCATGGATAAAAACAGCTTAGCGGTCAGCCAATCACAATAGCTTTAAATGAACCAATCAGACGAATCGTATTAAAATGCAGCCACTCACACGAAAGCAAGAACTCTCCGCCAATCACCGCCGAGCTCTAGTACCCACGTGACTTTGGCGTTTCAGAAAACTGCGTGACTTCAGTGTTGTTTGTTTACTCACAGAAGAGAAGAGCTCGTGCAGCAAGTCAAGAGTATATTCTAATAAACATGGCCGGCACGGACATCGATAGATTAGTTTCATTTGAAGAAGCCCACTATGATCAATATGATTATTATAACTTGGAGGAATATCCCTGCCATGCCGGAGGAAAAGGCAGAAGTAAGAAGGAGATCGAACTGAACACTAATCGCCATTCCCCAGCCGGACACGAGAGAAAAATAACAGAAAAACTGCAAAACAGTGAAAAACGCAGGAGAACCAAGAGCTCGACATCCTGAGGAAAATACATCGAGGTAATTTACTTGTAATCAAATTATGCTTTTTTATAATGAGAAAAATGGGCATTTCTCCCTCCCTCTCTTGAATTTATTTTAAATTATATGTTACCCCTGGCTCAATGTTTTTTTGCTTTTGTCTATTTTACTGATATTTTGTCTACTGTTTATAATTATATTATTGTTGTTTAATTCTGTTTTGATTTGCATTTGCCTTTATACATGTTCAATTAAAAGAAAAACAAGTATGATCAGTTAAATGTGTTTGCACACTTACTGAGTGACATGTCTAGGCAAGTCCTCCACCCTCTTTGTGCTCCAACTCCTGTTTTATGTAACCACTAGAGATCAAGTTTTCACGAGATTACATGCATCTCCTGTTTGTAATTATGTAATAATAACAAATCGAATGCATTTTTTATTGCGAGTATTCCTAATGTTTTTGTTTTTAATCCTTTACAGAATCTGACCGCACATACTGGAAATTGATGAGTGAAACCGGATCGTGGTCCAAATGTCTGTTTTGCCTTTTTCCCGACCCACTGAATGTTGATGTCATTCAGTTCGAGGCGCGCATGCGCACCTGTTTCATTCTGCTGCTGTCACGTGATACGCTGGTGTGTGCCGCAGCAGTTCTGACGTGTGTGTTGTGTTTGGGTGTTTGGTGTTTCACGTCTTAAACGTTCACCGACTTTGGAAATAAAACGTGTTCAGCTTAAAGGAAATGATGTGTTCTTTAAGACGCTGTTAATTTCAACAATGGAAGACTTAATTAAAGTTGCGAAATTCTCAATGTGGTCTTGCGTTGTTTATGTTTTGTATAAGCAGCGTATGAATATCCATCCATTTCATTTTAATTCAGCATAGTTAGTTTTTGGATATATATAAAGTTTCAAAGAAACGGTGTCAGATGAATAAATAGATATATGTAACATGAGCTTCAGATTTTCTTCATGTAGCCTCACAAATAAACGAGAGAGGCTATGCGACTATTTACGTAAGGGATAATGTGTGTGCATGCGGTTTAAACAACTGCTACAACATCTGTTATTATAGACCATTTCACAAGATGTAAACAACACTGGTCCAGAAGCACTTCCTGTTTCAGTTTTTTAACACTACATAAAAGCTGGGATAAAATACAACCAACAGAACATTTAAAACTGAATCAAAAAGTTAAACAAACATCTTAAAGATGTTTTCTTTACATGTGAAATAAAGAAAACAGTTACAAACTGAAACAGGAAGTGCTTCTGGACCAATGTTGTTTACATCTTGTGAAATACGTTTAACTCACTCGAGTTACTTTGAGTTGTGGCTTCTACTATGAACAGCCATAACTAAAAATAGTCGCAATCTCTACCCACCCAAACCGTGAGAGCAGTGACCTTTATTTTCAAGTGTAAATAACGCTCACGTGACCATGATCCTGATCCATGATACTCGATTTAGATTTTTATTCTAACAAATGAATGCCTTACCCAACATTTTGACAGAGCATCTAATTAAAGATACACATGCAATTTTCATTAATCTTAAAAGAATTCAATAAAGATGAGATGAGATAAAACATTCCTTA